AAATATTTATTAAAAATTTTTAAAAAATATTTGACAAAGGAGGCAAAAGCATACAATGGAGTAAAAAACAGTATCTTCAATAAATAGTGTTGGGAAAATTGAATAGGTATATGAAAAAAAGCCCCCAAAAAGATACTAAAGCCCCAAAATACGCCATTCACAAGAATAAACATGAAATGGGTAAAAGACTTAAATTTAAGTTGTGAAACCATAAACATCCTAGAACAAAACATAGGCAGTAAAATCTCACACACTTCACTTAGCAATATTTTTGCTGGTGTATCTTCTATGGCAAAGAAGGAAAAAATAAATAAATAAACCTCAAAATAAAAAGCTTCTTCACAGGGAAAAAAAATCCACAAAATGAAAAAGGAACTGCTAATGGAAGAACATATTTGCTAATGATACATTTGATAAGGGGTTAATTTCCAAAATACATAAAGAACTTATGTAACTCAACACCAGGAAGATAAACAACTCTATTAAAAAATAGGCAAAGGACCTGAATAGACACTCCTCCAAAGAGGACATACAGATGACCAAGAGACATATGAAAAGATGTTCAACCTCACTAATCATCAGAAAGATGCAATTTAAAACCTCAGTGAGGTATCGCCTTACACTTGCCAGAATGGCTACCATCAATAAATCAATCAACAGACAAGTGCTGGTGAGGACGTGGAGAAAAGGGAACCTTAGTGTACTCTGGTGAGAGTGCAGACTGATTCAGAGCCACTATGGAAAAACTGGGGAGTTTCCTAAAAAAAACACACACAAAAAAAACTGCTTTTATATAATAATAGAACTGCCTTTTGACCCAGGGATCTCTGTTTGGGGAATATATCCTAAGAATCCCAAAATACCAATCAGAAAAAATATATGCACCCCTATGTTCATAGTAGCACTTTTTATAAGAGCCAAGATCTAGAAACAACCCATTTATCCATAAATAGATGGGTGGATTAAAATTATATGATAGATTCACACAGTGGAATACCATGAGGCTGTAAACATAGAAATGACTCATTTTGTGACAGAATGGGGCTACATATTTTTATGCTAAATGAAATAAGCCAGTCAGAGAAAGACATACCATATGCTCTCACTCATAAGTATAATCTAATGAGTAAATTGAAGAACAAAATAAAATCACAGGCATGGGTACATGGAACAGACAGATGTCAGAGGAAAGGGGTACGGGGCGGGGGGGAATGGAAGTGAAGAACCCTGGCTGATGTCACTCAGTGATTAGAGTACTGCCCACACACTGAAGGGTCTCGAGTTCGATTCCTGGCCAAGGTCACATATATGGAGTGCATGCAAGGAGGCAACCAATGTGTCTCTCTCACATTGATGTTTCTCTCATTCCCACCCTCCCTTCCCCCATTCCCCCATTTGAAAAGCAAAGGGGAAAATGGTAAGTATTAATTTAAAAAAGCAAAGAGATTATCCAAAGAATATATATACATAGGCCATGGACACAGACCTGCGATAAAGGCCAAAGGAGGTTGGAGGCTGCATAAAGGTGGGCAAAAGGGATAAAATGGGGACATCTGTAATGTCAACAATCAATCAATAAACCTGCTTTTCCACATGGTTCTTTGGAACACACTAGAGCCACATGAAAATATCACATGTAGATATTTTGCATAAGCCAGAATCAATTACCAGACAAGTGAGTTTTTAAATTATCCCAATCTTTAGCTATCAACTAACTCCTAGCTTTCAAGTCACCCCTTCTGATACTGTATGACTCAGGAATGAGATTTTGCTGCTAAGCCCTGTCTAAATTTTTGTTGATATGTGAGCTAAATAAATGATCACTGTATTTTAAGTCAAGTTTGGGTTATTGTTATGCAGCAACAGAAACTTAAAAGAATGCCAAAATAGGTAAGTGAAAAAGCAAGACACATTTTAAAAATAGAATATACCATTTACATATTTTTAAAAAGCAAATGGAAAGGCTACATTCTAGATATGTACATGGATATGCATTCATAACATATATTGTTCCATATATATACTTGGGAAAATTACATAAATGGATCATTTCCTGATGGATTTGTACCACAGCCTGAGAACTGTTTGGTAGACTTGAGTCATAGCTGTTACACGGTTTCATTAGCAGTACATTTCCCTAAAAAACTTAATAGGCTTTCAAACTACTTGCTGAAGTTTACTATAATGCCAAATATCTTGTATAAACAGTCTTAAGCTTGATGATTCTTTTTGCTTACCTAGCACTTTTCTCTTTTATTTTACTAGCCCTTTAATTTTCCCAGGCAATCATACTGTATATCCCTAGACCATTAAATATCTCTCATTCTAATAACTATTTCATATCTTTTATTTAAAACCCCAAATCTCTCAACCCTCATAACATTCATCTATGTTTGCTTACCACTTCATATCATTTAAGGAAACAGAGAAATATTTTGCAAGATTTCTTCCACCTTATGTACTCATTTTCAGGACCTGCATCCCATATTCTGCCATCCTATTGCCAGGAATTAACTTTCCATATTGTCTAAAGCTAATCCTTCATCCACTAAATCATAACCTGTGTGAGGTCATTCCTCCAGTGATTCTTCCTTCTTTGTCTGAAATCATTTTTCCTTTCTAGTGGATTACTCCAACCACAGTAAAGAATTGCTATTATATCCCCTATCCTTAAAATGTTCTCCTATTCCTATTGCTCCTAATTATAAACCTATCTCTCTACATCCTTTAGCAGCAAAATGCCTCTAAGTAGTTATCTCTATGCATGATCATAAGTTTTCAGTCTTTATCTTTCACTTCTACCACTCCAAAGCAAGCAAACAAATGCACAAACAAAATACCCTTGCTCTTCTCAAGGTCAACAAAAGCTTCACTATAGCTAAATCCAATAGCCAGTTCATATGATCTGAAAACAGTATCTGATAGCATTGATCATCCTTCCTTTGACTCACTTCCATTTGGCTTCTGTGGTTCTTCACTATTAGTTGTCCTTACATCTCACTGATCCTGCTTTAAAAAAATACATTTTATTGATTTTTTTATAGAGAGGGAGAGAGATAGCTAGAAACATTGATGAGAGAGAAACATCAATCAGCTGCCTCCTGCACACCTCCTACTGGAGATGTGCTCACAACCAAGGTACATCTCCTTGACCAGAATTGAACCCGGGACCCTTCAGTCTGCAGGTCAATGCTCTATTCACTGAGCCAAACCAGTTAGGGATCACTGATCCTGCTTTGATGGTCTTTTATCCTTGAACTCTCAAGGTGGACCAATTCTCTATGTTCTTTTCTCTCTCCACACTCAAGTCCTTAATGACTGTCTGCCTCATGCTTTTAAATAACTATAGGTAATAATTAGCAAATTAATATAATACCTATAATAGTACAAATTAGAACACATGTGTCAAACACAAGGCCCGCGGGCCAAATCCGTCCCGCCAGGCCTTGCAATGTGGCCTGCACCGCGCTGTCATCACTGCACTCCGCTGCGTTTCCATCACAATGACAGTTTATGACTGTTCAGTAAACCATTCGGCCCGCGATTTAGGCTGGATTTTAGATTTTGGCCCCTTCTCTGATTGAGTTCGACACCCCTAAATTAGAGCATCCAAGTGTTTACTCAATATTGTTATTTTCTGTCAAAAAGACATGCCAAACTCAGAATGTCCACAATTGTACTTCCAATCTCCCACCACAAACCTGATGGTACTGTACCTTTCCCTATCTCAGCTGATGAGAACATCTTTCTAGTTACTTCAGCCCTAAACTTTTGGGTCAGTACCCTGGACTTTTTCTCTTACACCTGACATCTAACCTCTAAACAAATTTTGCTTGCTCCATCATATTTACCATATATCTAGAATTCAACCACTTCTCACCATTGTTGCTACTCGGGTCTGAGCCACTATCATCATTTATCTGAATTAATGTCATAACCTCTATTCATAGCCCTTACACTTTAAAATTTTTAAACACAATAGCAATATGTCAGATCATGTCCTCTGCTCAAAATATAAAATTACATACAAGGTATAGTCATTATCTTTCTTACCTTCTTTATCAATCACCCATCAGCACAAACCTTTACAATATCTCCACTGGTGTTCCTCAAACACTACCAGCAATGTAAGGGCCTTTGCTCTTTTTCCTCAGCCTGGAATGCCCTTCCCTTAGATAATGATTTACTCCTTCACCCCTTAAAATCGTGACTCAAATACTTCCTTCTCCATAGTTTACCCTGATGATTCTATTTCATATAGAAGCCCAAGTTATACCCCCCTTACAGTCCTTTTGAAAATTTCACCCTATAACACATGTTTTAACATATTCTACAATGTATTATTCTATCTTCTCCTACTAGAATTGCTCACTGGTATATACCAAATACTTAAAAAGAGTAGTTGAAATATTAAGTACTTAATAAATAAGAACATTGGGAGAGCATTTTAAATTATTTTTTCTTTTGCTAACAGATTCACTACATTTACAAGGATTAGCAATGGTCTCATTTCTTGTTTAGGCTGCCTCTTTAAATCATTGTAAGTGGCTTCAGTTAAAGAGTTGGCATTTTGAATCCCACAAGGATCAAAGTTCTAAAATTTACTATCAACCTGGATTGAGCACCTACCTCTCTCAACAAAGTAATATTGTTTTCAATCTCTGAAAGCACCCTCGGTATCTTACTCTCCATTAAATTTCTTTCACAGGACATTTCCAAATGCAGAAAGCATATGATACCCACATTCTGAATTGGTCCTATCATTTTCCCTAACATCATAATCTTAATTGGTACAAAATATGCCTTGCGAGATAAAGTGGGAGTCTGACAAAATGTTTTGGACATAAAAACAATCTTCAGTTTTCTTTCTGAGACAGGTAGATCCTCATTCTTCACAGACCTAAAGCAGTGCCACATTTGAAATTTCCTTAGCCACATGACTCCACATCCAGATATAAAATTTTATATCCTTAATAATTTTGTCAACAAGAAAATAACAATAGCATCAATAAGTAAGTTTATTTTCATTTCTATATAAAGAAGTACAGAAACCAGGAAGACCAAAGTTATGGCTATTATATAAAATCAGCAGAGGTGTATATTTTGTTTTTTCTGATCCACCATCCTTAATACCCATTCTCAAAGTTCCCATAAAACTGCCAGGGTTGGGAGAAAAACATGGTGGCTGGCAGGACAGAGCTGAGAGAGAGGAAGTGAAAGAGGGTATGAAAAAAGAGTGTGTGGTTGTGCGTGGGAGAGGTGTGAGTGAGGGAAAGTTAAATCTTGCAGGAACAGCAGGGGCTGGCAGAAAGCCTCTCCTTGAAAAGGAGACACTACCGCCACTGCGGGCACTCCCAGGATGATGGGATTCCAGCACGCAGCCCACGCCATCTTGAGCAGAGAACAGCCTTTTTTAGAAACTCATAACACCACCAACAAGACAGGCCTTGGAACAGCCCTGCAACCCAGCACCTACTCCAGCCAATTTCCTGCTACCCCAGCTACATACCCGTGGACCCTGGGACCTCCACCTCCAAATATACACTTTCGGCAGCTCAAGACACCCATGAAAAACACACATGGTGTCAAAACAAGCCAGAGGAAAATCATTTGGGCAAAAAGTGAAAAAGGATCCGAAGTCAAATTTATAGAAAATATTCCTTTATTAACTTTTGGTCAAGAATATGTTTGTATATTTTCAGAAAACAACTCCGAGACCATGTGGATTCCTGCAACAGAGAGGAATTGACAGGACTGCTCCAGCCATGAAGAGAAGAGAAACAGTCCAGAGATGAACTGACAATGCTTTGCCATACTAGCAGACAGCAGCTGTGCGCCGCTGAAGGATGCCCAGGACCAAACCAGAGATGGTCAGACCTGCATCACCACCATTTTTCCACCATCCAGAACTGAAATATCATTGCTGCCATGTACACATAAGGATCTGTTTGACATTGAAATTGGGACCCAAAAGAACTGTTGGCCCAGAAAGAAACTCACTGCAGACTGATTCATTTGCCTCTCAGCGTAACCATTTACACTTGTCTCATTTTCTGTTCTAAGTGTGTTTCTTATATCACATGATCTCACACATCTAGGAAAATAATGAACAACATAAACTGATGAACAAAAACAGACCTGGAGACAGGGAAGCATCGATCATACTGTCAAACCTCAGAGGGAAGGTAGGGAGGGGTGGGGGAAAGATCAACCAAAGGATTTGTATGCATGCATATAAGCCTAACCAGTGGTCATGGACAACACGGGGGTGGGGACATATGTGGAGAGGGGTTTGGGATGGAAATGGGGGGATGGGAACAATTATGTGATACCATAATCAATAAAAAAAATAAAACCTGTCAGTGTTGCAGATTAAATGTCCATATTGTAGACAGAGGGGAAATAGGGGGGTATAGGGGAGAGAAAAGTTAAATGTACTAATCATACAAAATATCTTTTTCACTTTGATCAGCAAGGGAAGCTTACATAGAATACAGTTACTAAAAAATGGAAATGGATATTAGGCAGAAAAAACAGCAGTCTCTAACATAGACTCATTTTTTCATTGCAAAATAGTCTGTAATGTCAGTTTTTATTTTAAGGTTAATAAAAGGAACTGTAAACCCAAGTTTTTCAAAAGTTCCCAGTAGAAAGATTTATTATGATTATCCATTTCTAAATAATATTCTTGAATTGTGGTCAGAAATAGTAGAAAATATGAGTTTTTGGACTTTGTTACAATTCACTTAAAACCTTGTCAATAATCCACTCATTAAACCTATAGTGTGTGTGTGTGTGTGTGTGTGTGTGTGTGTGTGTTTAATACAGTATGAATTTCCTCTTGTAGCATATTGGATGAACTCTAAATAAAAGTTTGCTCACATTTATTATAGCATATAGTGATCCCCATTCAAATAATGAGGGCGAAGTGTTAAGTGGACTATTTCTAAATATTCATTATACTCATAAAGTGTCCTCCTCTCATGCAAATTATCTAACACTATAATAACAGCTAATATTTGTGCTATGCTATGTTCAAGGCACTATTCTAAAAGCTTTACATGTAACAGCTCACATAATACTTTGATAAGAAAGATATTATTAGAATTTGATAAGGAAGGTATTATTAGATTTTCTTACAAATGATTAAAGGTTATCATAACAAATGTCATAAAGGAAAGCAACTGATAGAGTCAAAATAATGTTTAAAAAGACATGCAATGGCTGAAGGCCTTCTGATATTTACTACGTTACTGTTGATTAAAATTCACTAAAATTTAATCAGTTTCTGGTAATAAATTTTTCTACATGGATTACATTATCACTATCTTTCCCCAAATAAAATCATTGATGCAGAGTTTTATGAGGCAAGTATACTCCCATATTCACATTTTAAGAATTCTTTGATTGTAATGGATTAAAGATCATTGAAGTTTCTATTAATCACAAAAATTCAAATAATTCATATATAAACTTGTGAGTTATAAACCAAGTCTGTCCCACATTCTTTATATTTAAAAGATTTCTCACTGATATGAATTCTCTTATGTTGAGTTAGTTGTGAACCACGAGTAAAGGTCTTCCCACATTCCTTACATTGATATGGTTTCTCACCAGTATGAATTCTCTTATGTCGAGAAAGGTGTGAGCTCTGAGTAAAGGCTTTCCGACATTCTTTGCATTCATAGGGCTTCTCACCAGTATGGATTCTTTGATGTAGAGTAAGTTGAGAACCGTGACTAAAGGCTTTCCCACATTCCTTGCATTCATAAGGTTTTTCTCCAGTGTGAATTCGCTGATGTTGAGTAAGTTGTGAACCACGAATAAAGGCCTTCCCACATTCCTTACACTGATAAGGTTTCTCACCTGTATGAATTCTCTGATGCTGTATAAGTAGTAAGCCACGAGCAAAGGCCTTTCCACACTCATTACATACATAAGGCTTCTCACCAGTATGAAGTCTCTGATGTTGTGAAAGATGTGAACTCTGAGTAAAGGCCATTCTACATTCTTTACATTCATAAGGTTTCTCACCAGTATGAATTCTCTGATGTTGAGTAAGCTGTGAACCACGAATAAAAGACTTCCCACATTCCTTACATTCATAGGGTTTCTCACCAGTGTGAATTCTCTCATGTTGAGTAAGTTCTGAGCCACGACTAAAGGTCTTTCCACATTCTTTGCATTCATAGGGTTTTTCACCAGTATGAATCCTCTGGTGCCGAGTAAGTAGTGAGCCTCTATTAAAAGCTTTTCCGCATTCATTACATTGATAGGGTTTCTCACCAGTATGAATCCTCTGATGTTGAGTAAGTTGTGAACCATGATTAAAGGTCTTCCCACATTCCTTACATTCATAGGGCTTCTCATTGGTATGAATTCTCTGGTGTTGAGTAAGTTGTGAACCACGAATAAAGGCCTTCCCACACTGTTCACATTTATAGGGTTTTTCACCAGTATGAATCCTCTGATGTTGCATAAGTAATGAGCCACGAATAAAGGCCTTCCCACATTCTTTACATCCATATGGCTTTTCCCCATTATGAATTTTCTGATGTTGAGAAAGCTGTGAACCACAAATAAAAGCTTTCCCACATTCTTTACATTCATAGGGTTTTTCACCAGAATGGATTCTCTTATGTAGAATAAGTTGTGAAAGCTGAGTAAAGACCTTTCCACATTCTTTACATTCATAGAGTTTCTCGCCAGTATGAAGTCTCTGATGCAGTGTAAGTTGTGAGTTCTGAGTAAAGGCCTTCCCACATTCTTTACATTCATAAGGTTTTTCTCCAGTATGGACTTTTTGATGTCGGGTTAGTTGTGAGCTACGAATAAAAGCTTTTCCACATTGTTCACATTTATATGGTTTTTCACCAGTATGAATTCTGTAATGTAAAATCAGTTGTGAGCTCTGAGTAAAGGCCTTTCCACATTCCTTGCATGCATAAGGCTTGTCGCCAGTATGAAGTCTCTGATGAAGAATGAGCTGTGATTCACGACTAAAGGCCTTCAAACATTGCTTACATTCATAGGGTTTTTCACCAGTATGAATACTTTGATGTTGAGTTAGGTGTGAGGCTCGTCTAAAGGTCTTCCCACATTCCTTACATTTATAGGGCTTTTCTGAATTACATGAGGGATATTGAGATAAGTAAGTATGCTGATTGAAAATAGACATTTTTTCATATGTAATCTTTCCTTGCCTGAAATGTTCCTTCTGATTTTTCCAATGTGCCTCTGACTTCCAAATAATCTCTAAAAATAGACTTCTTAAGATCATAGTTTTGAAGCCAGTCATTCATTTTTCCATTGAAATAATTCTGTTTTACAAGTTTCTTCTTGGAGGTAAGTAGTTATTTGCATATTTGATGACAAATCTGAAAAATTAAAAAAATAATAATTTTGGTTTTTATTTTAAAAGAAGTAGAATTTCAATAGTAAAAAAGACTATATAGTAAAATATTCAGTATATCACTAAGTGAAAAAAGCATGTCCCTAAGACTACATATTTTAATTATATTTACATGACATCCTAGAAAACATAAAACTTTAGGGATGGAAAATATGCCAAGTTTCCATAGGCTGGTGAGGGGTGAGGGGTTGACAACAAAGGGAAAGCATTAAAGAATTTATGAGTGTAATGGCTCTGTTGTTTACTATGACTGCGACAGTGGATACACTTTATATGTATTGTAGATGGTATATCAGATTTCCTGAAGAACAGCAATAAATGTTGAATAAAATATGAAAAATAACCTAAAATACCCCAACCTTTGAGGAAAATAAAAAAGATCCACAGTTGCCACATTAACTTTCTTCAACTGACTACCTAAAATTATCTTTTTTTTAAAAAACCTAAGAAACAAGGCTTTGGACCAAAAGTAGGTCAGAGATTAGAAAAAAATTTCACAATATTGGAACCAGCCAAAGCCTGCAGTTCACATGAATGAAAAAATAATAATATTCTGACCTCAAAAGAAAAATCACAAGAAAAATCAATACGTAGTCTTGGCATTTTAAGAAATTAGATTTTTACTATGAGACGAGGAGTCATTGAAAGATTAAAAGATTCAGCATGACAAGTTCTGACATCTCTTTAAAAAGGAATCATTCTGGGGGTTTTTTGTTTGTTTTTGTTTTCAAATTAAAAAATAACATAATAAGAAAGTACAAAGGCTTGGTGAGAAAAGTTAGAAAGCTATAGCAATCATCTACGTGGCTCAGACAAGATGATTTTGGAGAAAAGTGTGGATCATTGGATTCTGAATACACTTTGAAGATATAATGAAGATTTTATGATGAACTGAAGATATATCAATAATATGGCAAAGAGAAGGAAAGTAAGTATTTCACCTCAGCATCTGAAGCAATGAAAGTGCCATTTACAGAGAAGTTTTCCCTGTAACAGGAGCAGATTTGGAAGTTTAGTTTTGAACTATTTAATATCATAATAATGTGGAATAAACAGGTATATGCATATGTATATGTTCTGAGGAAATATTTGGATTATAAATGTAAATTTGGGAGTATCAGCAAATAGATGGCATTTCCTTTAAAAAAAAAATCTTGTTAATCCTAACCTAAGGTATGTTTTCCATTGCTTTTCAGAAAGAGTAAAAGGGAGGGAGGGAGAAGGTAGAAAGTGAGAGAGACAGAAATATCAACATGAAAGAGATACATAGACTGATTGCCTTCAGCATATGCCCTGACTGGGAGTGGGGTGCAAACCCCCAACCCAGGAACATGCCCTTGACTGGGAATCAAACTTACAACCCTTTAATGTACGGGCCAACATTCTAACCCACTAAAACAACACTGAACAGGGCAACAAACAGATAACATTTAAAGCTATGGGATTTAATGAGGTTGAGGCTTTGAATACATAAAAGAAAGGAAGAGAAGGGAAGTCTGAGGATTGAACCCTGAGGCATTTCAACATTTAGTGATTATGTAGTTAAAAAAAAAAAAAAAAAAAAACACAAAAAACAGCAAATGAGACAAAGAAGGAGCAGCCAATGAGAAAGGAGAAAAAGCAGGAAAGGGAGAAATTCCAGAAGTCAAGTAAACAAGTGTTCTGATTTTGAGGAATGATCAAATGTGTCAAATAAGTGAGAGATGATGTACACCGTGGTCTCTAATTTAACAAAGAATTTAACAATATGGAGGTTACTAGTGATCTTCACAAGAGAGTTTTTTGTGGAGTAATTAATGGGAGCAAGTTCTAATGGAAGAATTAAACATAGGGAACATGGAAAAAGCACTTGAAAGGTTTTGTTATAAAGAGTAGCAAAGAGGAGTGATATCAGCATCATAGCTAGTGAGCAGACTCCTTGGTTAATTCCCTTAAGTTTACAAGTCAGACAATTATAATTTTGCAAAGGATTCCCTACTAAACAAAGAAACAAGCCTGAAAGATACACAAATCAGTACCTCTGAAGATGGGTATATTGGAATTAGTAGGTAAGGTGGAATGGGAAAAAGAACAGGAACAGTGGACACAGATACAGTTTGGCACCCACCACAATTCCAGTGAGTGTGGTACAGTGGAGATGTCAGGCTGTGGCTCTCACACTATGGCCTGGAACACAGAGTAACAAAAGCACCCTCAGGAAAAAAAGACATCTCCTGTCTCTCCTTTGTCCCCCTCCCTGCATTACTACAGAAACCAGGAGAGGTGGTTGAGAAGTTTAAATAGCACAGTGGTGCCAACAGGGTAATAGTTATTGTTGGTAGAGGGACAGAACCACAAAATCAAAAACTTGCCTCCCTTGCTCCACCCATCCATGGCAGAGCCTGAAAGAGAAAATTAATAAACCACAAACAATAAAGGGGTGCCAACAGCCATTGCTGGCAGAGAAATAGAGTCCTTGTTTGTGTACTTACCTTTCTTGCCCAAACAATCCTGGAAAAGACTGCTACAGACAGTGAGACACCTCCAAAAACACAGTAGGGACAATGGCCATTATAAAAGAGGAAGTAGTGCTGTGAGCTCACAAAACCATTTCTTTACCATCCCCCACATTCCTCCGCCACAGTGGTGGCCCCGTAATTGAAGCAAACCTGTCAAAGAGGGGACACCCACCATCCTAGTGGATGCTCAGTATTTTCAGTAACCAAAGTGATTGTTACTCCAATGTAATCCCAAAGGCACAAAGAGAGTAGATGATAGAGAACAAAACAAGAACACCAGATCCCAAGCAATGCGAATACATGGACTCGAAGAAGCTCTGCACCTTCTCACGGAAAGGGCAGATTTTGCCTAGGAAAAGGTGAGGTTTATGATTCAGGCAGAAAAGTGACCCTTTCACAATAGGAGCTAGAGGACTTGAGGAAGTCTGCGCCAAAAAAAAAAAAATCCATGGCCATTGGGGCTAGCGTGATCCGTGAGTGTGGAAAGGGATTCATAGGGCTGCTAACAGAAGGGAATTCTAAAAAGCAACCCATAGCTGAACTGGACACAAAAGAGCATTCAAAAAAGTTTAAAAGTGTGCCAATAGCTTAGAGCCAGGGGGGAAAAAGACTACACAAACTTGCACACAATGCAGATGGTAAAAGTCTCCCACTGACTCTGGCTCTTTTTTCATTTTCTTTTTTCTCTTTAAATCCTTGCTTTTGATTACTAAGGCCAGAACATAGGATCCCAATTGGGGACACTCTAAGAGACAGCAGGGGAAAGTTGTTTTTGTGGAACGTGGGGAATAACGATCAGAGAACCAGGTCTAGGGCAGCCCATTCCCCCAAACCAGTATTAAGTGTGACAGGGAAAACAAAATCTAAGCATTAGCTAGAGAGGCCCAGAGGTCAATCCAGAAACACTGCCTCTCAGGGGTTAAATCACAAATTGACTCTTGTGTAAACACAAATAAAGGATTATAACAAACAAAGAAATACTGCCTACTTGAAAATCAGGACTGGCTTACAACACTGAGGAGCAGTGGAACACAGAGAACTAAATAGTGTCCTGAGTAGGAAACAGTCATTCCAAACAGAATAGTAGGGGAAGTGAATGACCTCAGTACAGAACACTTCTACTTTTATTTTCATCTTTTACTTAAGAAATTGTGGGGGGGTTTTCCCCTCACTTGATTTTGCCTTTCTAATTATTAGATTTTATTTTTAATCGGTATTATTACAACTACTATTTTACATTTTTTTTAAGTGTCATTATATTTTCTCTTTATTTTATTTTGGGATTCGGGTTCTACATTCTATTTTCATCTTTCTTCTAGCATCATTTTAGTCTATCTCAACTTTACCTTTATGCCAACATTCTCTTACTCGCTTTTCACCTTTTGTTGTCCTGTTTTTCTTACCCTATTCTTGCTTTATATTTTCCTTATTCCTTCTTTTACTCCCTATAAAAATTCATCCTACTTATATATCTAATTTACAATCCCCTGCTCTAAGCCCATACACACTTCTTTTTTTTTTTTTTTATTATCCAAATTGTTTTCTCTTTGTCCTTTTCTTACTGTTTGCTCAATTGTTGATTATGTTGGTTTTTTATGCTTTTTTGTGAGATTATCTCTTTATGTTTTTATTTTATTTTTGTTTATTTTTTGCTTCTGTTTTCCCTCATCTTGCTTGATATTGTTGTTTGTAGTTTGCATTCATTTCAAGATACCTTGTTTCCCCGAAAATAAAACATCCTCCAAAAATAAGACCTACTTACAGGTTTCCTTCTGAGTGAAATATAAGGCATCCCCCCGAAAGTAAGACCCCCCCCCCCCAGACTCTGTCTCAGAATAAAAATTAATTTACCGTAAACTGGTCACTAGGGCCGCCCCGACTGGTGTCTAGCAGCCAGTGACGTTTTACACACAGTCCTGATGTCACTGCTGTGTGGAGGCAGAGCGGAGGTCGGAGTGAGGGGGGGGGGGGGGGGAGGAGGAGACTTTCTCAGATGCGTGTAGAAGAACAGGAGGATTAGAGCGGACAGGATGCTGCGAAGGTGGTGAGTGCTGGTCTGTCTCTGGTTGCACTACCTGATGCTCGTGGCCGCCCTCATGATTGAAGGTTCTCAGTCAGTGGCAGACCCTGCTCCAGCCTAGATCCAGGCACCAGCAAGCCCAGTGACAGCCCCCAGGCATGCCCCAGGAGGTAAATGTCTGATAAAGGGGTAGGGGGGATGTCTGGTGAAGGTGTTCAGTGGCACAGGGGTGGAGGGAGGGGAATCACTTAAAATGACACAGGAGGGTCAGAGGGGGCAATTAAAATGACACAGGAGGATCAAAAGGGGTTACTAAAATGGTAATCCTTCCTCTGATCTCCTGTGCCATTTTCAGTCTCTCCTCTAATCCCCCTGTGTCATTTTAAGAGATCCCCTCCCCCCACCTTGATAACCCAATTCCTTTTTTTATCCCCAGAAATGAGCGCA